CACTGGACTACATGGAATCTGTAAATATATAGCTCATAATGCATGTAGACTGCTCTTTATGCAGAGGAAGAGCCAAGTCAGCAAGAGTGGTATTAATGCATGAAAAATGAGCCGCGCAATAAGACTGAAAGACCACATCACACCAGGCTTATTAAGATAGAGAAGCCCGCTGAATTACCTGCCTGACACTTAGTATTTGTCAGGAAACATTAAAAGACTGGAAACTCAGTGAGGACACATTAGATATTCACTACTATGAAAAAGAGGCTCAGGTTTGACTTATTACCACGTCTTGTCACATAGTGAAAAACTGAGATGAGGCTCGATGGTATTACACCTGTACTCTTTGATTGATGACCTGAATGAGAAATTTTACTTTATTGACACATTTTGAGTTTCTACTGTTCTTTGCAGGTGTGCATCCATACTGTACGGCCAAAAGTTAGAGATTATACGCTGACATTGATAAACGGAGGTACTTAAAATGTATACTCTTAACATCATAGGTGGACACAAACAGAAGTTATTGAGGTGTTTACTAGGCAATTTTACCATGTATCTACGCATTCTCTCCTAAAAAAAACAAAAAAACGACCCAGTTTCAAATTTGCACTTAACACTTCCCTGTGGCTCGCGTTCTCATTCATCAAGCATGTTTGTTCCACTGACAAGCTGCAGACCAACGCTTGAATATCAATATCAGACAACGACGGCAAGCACCGGGCGAGTAACCTTCAGCTAAATGTCATTCTGCTTAATCCTATTTGAAAATTAAACATTGAAAAAACCTTTAGCGTCTTCACTTCTTCCTCCCCGACCCTCACCTTCCCTCTCTCTCGTTCATTTCAGCACGTCCCTGACATTTGTAAATATTGTGTTTTCCATGTGTTCTCCATTATTTGTTAGTTGTTTGAAGCGCCGAAGTAATGACTGACCAGAGATGAGAGACTGAGGCCGTTTGACATTTTCCTGGGTTGTTTCCTTCTGGCGCTTCAGAGTGTGCACATATTTTCTGTACAGTCTTATTGACTACTGTCAAGAGGGTAACAGTGTATGAAGCACATCTCACACAGAAGGCATTTTAAACAAGTTACTTTCTGTCACTTGATGGAGTTTGGGTTCCTTGCCACCATTGCCTTTGGCTTGCATAGTTGTGGTCTAAAAGACAATAAATGTTCCATAATATCGAACTGTCGGCACTGACACTCAGATGAGAACAAAATTTGAACTGAATTGAGCTAAATAATGACAACATTGTCTTCTGTAGAGCTGCAATTGAACTGAAATGAATGAACACTGTACTGACTGGAGCTGAATAAAGACACTACTGTCTTTAGTAGAATTGCTTATCGCTGAATTGAACTTGTTTAGTAAGGAACAAATTTTACACAGTTATTGAACGGAATTAAATCAACACTGAACTGACTGGAACTGAATAATGACACTATTGTATTGCTACAGCTGCTTTATAGCAGAATTTTGGATTTGCCTCATTTTTGAAGTTTGCATAATTATTTTTTACTTCACTGTTTAATAATGTGAAGATGCTTTGAAATACGATCAAACAGAAATACCCCAAACAGCAAAAAATTTTAATAAAAAACAACAACACAGTTAAAGTTTCTCCAATGCCATGTTTTGACTTTGTCAGTATCCATGTCAGAAACGAAATGTCGATAAGCTACTACAACAGGTCTACAGCCAAAAAATATACTAGATAAGCAATATATATACACACTCATCTGTCGAGCTGTTGCTGTCAGGTTCAGGCCCAGTGGTTCTGTTAAGGTGACTCTGACAGGAGGAAAGAGACGCCGCTCTGATAGGAGACATGCCCGAGAGGGCCCCATGCATCAAACGCACATATTTACATAAACAAATCCTCCCTATATAGCCTGTAATTACCACAGTGACACAGCCATCCATAGAGGAGAAAAGAGCTTGTCTGATAGCGACACATTCACAATGACTGAGGTGGAAGCTCAATCAATGCAGCCGCGTCGCAAGCTGCTTTATGCGCACAGACCAAGTCCTTTGATTGGCTTTTGTACCACTATTGAATATATGGACACTATACATCATCATCTGAAAAGGTGCTCGCACAGAAAAAGAGAAAAGGAGGGATTGACACACTTTGTAACAAACACAGTTGTGTAATGTTGAAAGATGCTCTTTGAGGTGAGGAAATAAGCATTGGCGTGCAGATGAAGGCTGTGATTGGATACTATAGATTTTACATTTTCCCCCACTTAGCAACGTTTAACCATTTTTTTTAAACCTTAAAGTATAATTTCAGTTCTGAGAGAGTAGTATATATATATATATATATATATATCATTACATTTTATCACAGAATTCTAGTCCTTTTGGGTTAGGGGGAAAAAAGTTAAATACCAGATATTACAACTTTTGTAATTTTTGTCTTGTGTAGTCTGAAAATAAATGTTGCTATGTGTGTGGATATTGTGATCAGAATTTTGGGCTGTCCAAAAATAATAAGTACTGAGTATTTAATTGACATACACTACCGAAATGTTAGTGGAATAATTAAGATTTTTAAATTATTTTGAAATAAGTTTTTTATGCTCACAAAGGCTGCATTTATTCACACAAATATACAGTAAAACAATAGTATGGTAAAATATTATTACACAATTAATATATTGTATTAATATATTATTATTATTATTAATATATATGATATTATTCATATATATATATATATATTATTATTACAAAATAGATAACAAGAATATAGATAGATAACGTCACATGGTCCTTCAGAAATCATTCTAAAGAGACGTGTGAAAAATGAAGTGTTCTAAAAGAATTAAAAAAAATTAGCTCAAAATATCAAATGTGGCTTATATCCATAGACTAGATGGAATCATAGTCGTAAGCTAATAAAATCAGAGCCAGCGTACACTATACGATTTTCTGTGAAATCTGTCAACTCCCACTGGCTCTGACTTTCAGCAGCTAGGGTCGACTAATCCAGACTGCAAATCAGGGCAAAAATCTAGGCAAAAGCTTTGTAGTGTATTCCAGCTTTTAAATTCCAGGCAGACTAATAAAGAAGCCAGTATACCCTAACTCCTATAAGTTGCATAATACCAGCCAAACAGATGGAAATTGGTGATTTCATCTAACGCTTGTATTTTTGTGTGTACAGTGCCTTGCGAAAGTATTTTGCTCTGATATGCATTATCAGCTGTTAGACCTTTTATTAAGATGTGTGTGCCTTTCCAAATCATACCCATTCAATTGAATTTGCCACAGGTTAACTTCACTTGAAGTGTAGTTACATCTACAAGCATATGAATGCTCCTGAGCTAAATTTCAACTGTCCCAGATATGAATAGGTATGAATACTTATGCAATGGAATCATTTAAGTTTTTTTCTTTTTAATAAATTTGCAAAGATGTTAAAAACCTGTTTTTTGCTTTACCATTATGGTGTATGGAGTGTAGATTGCTGTGGAAAAAAAGTAATTTAAAGCAGTTTAACATAAGGCAGCAACATAACAAAAAGTGAAAAAAATGAAAAAAAAAAAAAACTTTTGCAAGGCACTGTAATATGCATCAGATATGCGGTAAGCGGACACTGGCTGTGCCGTTTAAAGCTGATACAATGCTAATGTAATGTTGCTATTTTTTTACATCTTTGTATACTCTCTATTGCCCACAAACATATTTATTGTGAAATTCTCAAGGAAGATCTGTGTTTTACCTGTTTTTAAGAGCTGGCCTAACACACATTTCTGTTTTCTGTGTTTGTGAAATGCAGGTGGGAGATGCAGGATGATGCTGCACTAGAGGACGAAGAGAAGATTTTAGTGGATCAGTTAAAGAAAACATACTTCGACAAAAGCCAAGAAACTTAGCAAAGGCCCAGTGACTATTTAACAGGAAAACCAAATGGCCAGTGTAAAAAGTGTGTGTGGCTGCTAAGAAGATTGTTAACACTGATGTGCTGTGGATGTGAAATTACAGTTGCAGATGAACAAAAAACATTGCTAAACTGAAAACTGTACTCCACTGATCTGTTGAACAAATGATAATATAACAGTTATGAGGAAATAGATTTTGGAGAGTTACTTGCTGGAAGGGGAAAATAGTAAATACAGAAGGTACTCTTTGGTTTCAGTCAGTCAGTGAATATAGAATAATAATAAAAACAATGCATGCATAAAATAATACATGCATAAAATATGATTATTGGAAAGAGATGCTTAACAACTCTTAATTAATCCTGGAAACCTTGTGGACTGTTAAATGAGAAGTCCAGTAGTGGTGATTTTTCATGCAGAAAGGTTTGACTGTTGTATCACAGGTCCAAAAAAAAAAAATAATAAAATAAGTAAACAAGTTCATAAATGTCAGTTTGTTTCAACCATTGTTATTTTACTATCATTGAGATACTATTATAGTTTTTATTCATATTTTGAATTGGCTTTTTTATATCTTGTTTTTAAAACTAAAAGTTTTTATAGTTGTTTTAGTAATGTTGTTGTGTTTCTGACAATGTTCCTATTTTTTAATGGCTATATAGTTTTTATTCATTTTCAGTTCTAGTTATTTTAGTACATCGAGATAAATTGAACGTTGCCGCACAAATTATTAAAAAAAGAAAACAAGATCCTCATGTGGAGTTTTTAAATTTATGTGTTATTACTATTTTAGTTTTTGTTTAAGTCTGCAGTTCATTTACACTGAAACATACACTAAATGCGTGTAATTATTCATTGATTCATTCATTCACAAAGACATGATATTTTCTTTCAGGAGATTTAAACTGTATTTTAACATGCATCGTACAAAAAAAAAAAAGATATAAAAAAACATCGTCAGCTGAAGCTTATTAAGTATTATTGCAATGAAAGCGTGTGTATGTGTGTGTGTGCAATGACAGCTCTTCTGTGTCTGAGTGAAAACAAGCGGCGCTGTCTGTTTAAATCCCGCCAATCAGCTGGAGCGTGTGTAAAACGCTTCCGTTTCCGAGGAGACGGAAGCGTGTCTTCCTGTTTGGCAGAAGGAGGAAGCAGGATGTGTGAAATCTCACGTGTGCTTGTTGTTATGGTACGTGAGCGGAGCGACATGCATGCAAATCCATATTTACCTCTCCCACTGTCTTCATCTAGCTCTTCTGCACGGTGATCAGTTTCGCTGCTTGAAATAGCTGTGCTTTGTGAAGTTATTGTCCCATCTGTCTGATGAGTAGTGCTTTATAAACATTGGCTGGGGTCCACGCAGGGAATCGTTTACTATGTTTACATGCTCCGATCATGTCGAAAACAGCAGATCGCTGCTTTTACTGTGTTTCTCTAAATGCAGACACTGAGATTCAGATGCATGTGAGTCTCTCAGTTCAGCACGCTTGGTTTTAGAGCTGAATCAAGCTGTTAGCTTAATGCTAGTTACCACTATAAAGACAGTCTGACCTGTCAGATCTAAGTGCACTGTAAGTAAACTACGATTAGATTGAACACAACGACTTTTACGTTTGACTGCTTACACACGAACAGAACTCGGCATTAAAGTCAGAGCCGTAGCATTAGAAGTTAGAAACTCTAGAAGCTACGTTGCCCAAGTCAACACATTCACTGTCAATATTTATGTAATTTTAAAAGTCGGTATACAATCAAATTACTATTATTGATTATTTGCACTGCTCAAAGTTACATGTAGCTACTTATTATTAAATACATTTAATACATTATTATATTTTTGGTCAGCTGTCTATCACAGAACAAGTGTACATTGTCCCAAACATTATTATGATTATTATTGACACTATTAATATTATTGACACATGATTTAACTGATATATATTAAGCATAATATGTTTTATAATATGTCGTAATCATGTTTTAATGTTTTGTAATTTAATTACAAAAGTTGTTTAAAAACTGTTTATTATTATGTTATTTTAATGATTTGTAACACCTCTGCAGCAGTTTGTCAATCAGTCTAATGTTTGAAATATGTATTATATTATTACTGCTTTATAATTTGACTGTTTTATAGTTACTGTTAATATTACATAATTTCTATAATGCATTAATATACATTTCTATAATGCGTTATATGCGTTCATACTAATGAATTTACAGGCAAGGCAAATGTTTTTTGATTGTGTTGTGACAATAAAGGTCATAGCATTAGAAGCTTGTTGTTTAGTAATTTTTATTTATTCTTGATCAGAGCGACGTGCAGTAATATTTCTGTAGCGGTGTGTCCATGCCTATCAGAGCCAGCATCTTCCTCTTCTGTTTAGTTCGGATAACTATGGCCCAGCTCTTGGCACAAGAAGAAAAAGAAAAAACTACTGCACTAAAAGGTAAAGCCACATTGTGCGTGAATACATGCATATGTATAAAAATATAAATTAAATGCCAATTAAATTATGGGAGGGAGGGGAGGGAGGGGGGGGTTGTGTGCTTATTGAGTATTTATTTATTTATTTGATTGTTGGTATATTAATTTGTTTTCTAGATTTATTGTCCAGGATCGATTTAGACGAGCTGATGAAAAAAGACGAGCCTCCACTGAACTTTCCTGAAACTCTGGATGGGTTTGAATATGCCTTCAATGAACGTAAGACCTTTTGCTTGTCTTTACTCAAAACATTTTTAGACACCGTAAACTATTTCACTCTATGACATACATGCCAGCTAGACCATCAAATAGCGTTTGGCCTTGTACTTTAATAACATGATTTCGTACCTTGTCTGTGGTTATGAAGGTCTGAATGCATTAGAAGTGTGCGGAGGGTTTCATTGGATATTGACAGCAGGCAGCAGGCTGTGATAGCGCTGTCTGTTTCAGAGTCTCTGGAGTCTGTGGCAGCTGAATGGACAAGTTGTGCATGCTATGGGCTGTCAGTGGCTTACTCAGCCTTGTGCTCTGTTTGACAGCTAGATTTGCATAACCTTGCTCCTCTCTCTAAAACGCCTCCTGTTAGCGTCTGGAATACCTTATATCAGTCTCCCAGTGAAGAGTATCACTTTTATTCGATTTTATAAGAAAGTTTCACTTTGTAATTTCTTTTCTCACTCTCTGAGATGAATGTAAAATGGCTATTGAGCCAAAGTATAGTCTTGAACATTAACTTTTTAATGTAGGGTTGATGTCGATTTGCTCAAATAGAATACAGAATAGGGTCTAAAGTCAACCAATGGGGTGCAGCGCATTTAGAAAATGTTAGTCGTTTAAACTAAACATTATATGAGCCAAATGCAGATTTATGTAAATGCGTAAATATAGTTTAAGTCCTTGATTTGAGTGATGTTATTTTCTAGCAATAATCATTCAAATTGGATACAAAAGTCAACTAATGGGTGCATAGCCTTTAGAAAATGTTATTGGTTAAAGTGAATATTATATGAGACAAATACCAATTGGACATGTAAATATAGTTTCAAACCTTGATTTGAGTGATGTGATAATTATTAAACAAACATCAAAAATTCGATTTTTAATATTAAATTATTAATTATGTAATTATTTATAAGATTTATAAGTAAATTTAAATAAGATTACTTTCAGTTTTTGCCTAAATGAAGTTTTCATTCACTAGGGGTAGTTGTTTTGTGGTTATTGATAAATATTTACCATAAATGAAAGTAAAATATTAGTTTAATTTTAATAATTTAATTTCATTAACTTTGGCAACAGGGTTGAAAAGTAGAGCTTCACAAATGTTGTGATTATATATTTATGATTTATGAATTATGATTTTGATTGTTGAATACAGTTGAGAAGGTCAAGACCAGAAAATAATAATTTTAAGGCGAGGATATGTCATTTGCCATGTTTAAAAAAAAAACTCTCTTATTCTTTTTTTTTTTTTTTTTTTTTACAAATCATGTGGCATGATGACTTCATCCCAGTCTGCCTTCAGCTCGTTCATTACTGGAAATCCAAGGTTATGTATACCTCATTAAGCTAAAAATCGAGAAAGCATGCTAATTATGCCAGGTTAAAGCAGGGAGAATAAGTTGAAGGGGGGTATTCCTCAGAGAGCCTGTGTTATGAAGACGATGGAGCTGAACTTCCACTGCATGTTGGTTTCATTGGATCCCCTCTTCCTTCTGTTAGGCACTTCTGGTTGTAGTGTTTCTCTTCACCCCTTTGTGAATGCATAATTGATTTTTAAAGGTACTAGCGCATGCTACGTCTCTCACTCCCTCTCTCTCGCTCTCTTTCCTTCCACTGACTCACTTTCTCTAGCACTCTTTCCCATCCTATCTCAAAGGAGCGGCCATGCTTTCAGAGTTCATTGTTGATATACGGCCTTTTAGTGGTACATGTTGTTGAACAGCTAACGATGAAAGCGTATAGTGTAATACTCTCCGAGTTAGCCATGTTGGATTTATCGCCTGATAACTGTGCAAAAAAGTGCCGGAGCTTTGAGAATGAGGGGAATGAAAGTGCTTATGCAATCTTTTATCTTCAAAGGTGTTTTTCTTTTTGTGGAGCCATGCGCTAGGGTAATTGCAAACGTATGATGCCCCAAGGCTATTTGGGTTAAGTGTGTATGCTTTGAATATTTTAACTTCACGCATTGGCAATCAGAGAGGTCACTGTTAGATTTAACACTGGTTTTAGGCTTCATTATGCCTCTGTGTCAACAGTAAAATAGATGGGCCTATCTTTCTTAAAAATCCTTTCAGAAATGTTAGCAACCACTCTCTATGTTTATGTTATTCAGTGTTGTATTGTTTGGTGCCCTCTAATTCCTTACAAAAAAACAAAACAAAAATGAATTCCTTTGTGGTACTGGTGCAGTGATGATATTGGGTGGTACAATATACCATATATCTAATATACAGTACCATTCAAAAGTTTGGAGTCTGTAAGATTTATTTTATTTTCTTTATTTTTAAGTAAATGAATACTTTTACTCTGCAAGGATGCATTAAGTTGATAAAAAGTGTAAATACATTATTGTTACAAAAGATTTAAATTTCAATTAAATGCTATTCTTTTTAACTTTCTGTTAATCAAATAATCATGTAACATGTATCATGGTTTCCTCAAAAATAATAAGCAGCACAGTTGTTTTTAACATGGATAATAATAACCAAATCATCAACTCAGCATATTAGAATGACTTTTGAAGAATAATGTGACACTGAAGATGCTGAAATTTCATCACAGGAATAAATTATATTTTAAAATAAATTAAAATAGTGAAAACATCCTTTTAAAATGTTAGAATATTTTACAATATTACTGTTTTACTGTATTTTTGGATGGATGGATACATAGATAAACAAATATATAAATAAATAAATACATACATGCAGCCTTGGTAAACTTAAAAAAAGGCTTATGACCCAATTTTTTGAACAGTAGTTCAAGAATATCAAAGCATGTTCAAAAAGTGGTATTCTCATAGTACCCAAAAAAACATTTTAGTACTGTGTAACTTTATATACCATTTATAATATTTTGTATAATAATATTATAAAATATTTTTTTACATATTTTAAATATTAAAAAGTAACAGTGGGTAACAATGTTTCAAGTCTGGCTCCTACTCACTAGGGGCTAGCTAGCTAGTTTGGGACCAAATGTCAGTTTATGGTTTTTGTTGACTTATGTAGCCCATAAATGAAAGAGAGTTATTTTTTTAATTAGAATAATTTGGGTAACGAGGTTGTATGGTTGAGCTGGATGAATGACATTTCTCAGCACTACAATATAGTATAGTAAAAAAACAAACAAACAAAAAAATGTGTCCAAAAAGTAGATGACATATATGCCAGTCATTCAGCCCTTCCCCTGAAACACCATTAGTCCTAACCAAGCGTGGTGTTGTTGTTTACCTCATCCACCTCAGCAGCTGTTTAGCAGTATCAGTACTTGGCAAAAGCCAGGCCTCATTGTCCAGCCATGGCAGAACAGTGGCACTCAAGTGGGTCACTTTGAATGAAGTCGGCTGGCCCGCTCTCAAACGAGCCCCTCAAAGGATGCTCATAGGAGGGAACAGTTGAAGTGGTCCAGCCACACTCACGCACACGGACACTCTCAGATCTTTGGTGGCTTGAGGTACAGTGACGGAGAGACCGCTATTGCAGCACCAGCTGTCTGAGGAAGGCCTGCCAGACGTCCCAGAAGGCCAAAGTAAGGGGGACAGGAGAAGCGTTAGCCGTTCGCAGGGCTTGTACCTGCCAGATGGGGGGATGCCAGCCAAACATATTTAATTGCATGAAGGGGAATGATGCACATCAAGCAGGCCTGAGGTTCTGAACTGAAGGTCGCAGCCTTACACGTAGAATGACATTTGCAGGCTGTGTGTGGACTTTGGACAACCCTCAAGGCCTCATATACTAAGGCTTTCAGTCAATGCAAAAGTGTTTCATTGGATCCCAACTACTCATTGAGAATAGGATTGGCTGAGGTGTTTGATGCTTCTCAAACTGCAGGTGCAAAATGGTTGGAGAATGTGAAGGTAAAGAGTGATTCACTTGAGTTCAAGCCTGCCAATGTTGTGCCCTTGCTGTGAAAACAACAAGGCTTTCGTGTGTGATGGCCAATCAAAGACATCTTACTTTTATGTTGGAAAACATTCATGTCTTGTTGGCTCACAAAGGCTTTGGCTTCATGCCATCCCTCACACTTCACTTCAAGATACTCTGCACTAATATTGTCCTTAATATTCCCTTCGTCTGCAGTTGAAGTAGAACTGTGAAAGAAATGTTATAGGGAGGTTTTAGATAATAAAATGAATAGAGTATAGTCTCAGACCCAAGCAGGAAATGCAGATAGCAGAATAAATAAATGTGGGCTGTCTTTCTTAATGAGTTACAAACTGTTTGTTTATGGAAGACCTCCTACACAAACCAAATGTAGGTATTCTGAAGCTTTAAAAGACATCACTTTTTATGATTTCATTACAAAATTGTATAGTTGTGTATTTTTTATTTTATTTTCTGCAGATGGTCAGTTGAGACACATACACACAGGGGAGCCATTTGTCTTCAACTATAAAGAGGACCTGCATAGATGGAACCAGAAAAGATATGAAGCATTGGGAGAGGTAATGTTGATAATTTAAAAACATTTTACATAAAAAGGTGATATTGTGTTATATTCATAGATCAGTTTGGGAAATTATATATGCATTAATTCAATAGCACATAACATATTTGAGTAGTGATTTATTTATCTATTTTATTCTCAGTAAGGTTTTTTTTTTGTGAAAGAAATTAGTATTATTTTTAATTCAGCAAGGATGCATTACATTTACCAAAAGGGATATTTTTAATGTTCGATTTAGACAGATTTGTGAACAATATTTGAGAGAAATAGGCCTTTTGTGTACATAGAAAAAGTCTTAGATCTTTGAGTTCAGCTCATGAAAAATGTTGCGTTTATAATTTTGTTCAGTGTGTATATATATATATATATATATATACATTTTAGCTCAGTGGTGTATTGATATTTGAGTAGCCCGTTGTTTTTGTTATTCAAGTCACATGAATTTTCAACATTTTCAGGTGTGAACGTGGTCTTTCTGATACATTATAGACCATCTTTCATCTTTTTTTGGTTGTGGTGTTTTGTCTGAGTGAACTCTGATTTACATTACTCTCACTGTTCAACACCTTCACGCTTTACCAACCACCACTCCTTCCAAACCCCTTCCACTGTCGCGCTCCGGGGCTGTGTGCATGTTATAAGGTTTAAGAGTGTTGATTGTTCATATTTTGATGGTTTATTAGACTGTGTGTGTACTTTTGTGTGCCTTCAGGAAAGTTTCTTTTTCAGCTGTAGCCTGCATGTGGCTTTGAAAGTTCAAATGCAGTTCACTGAGTCTTAAGTTAATTTGTGTACACAATTATCTTTGTTCATTTACATCTGTATTCTTTGGCTTTATTTGTAGTGCATATTCGTTTGATGTTCAAAGGAAAGAGATTGACTCTTTTAGGATTATGTGAGCGTTTTATTTCTAGTCCAGGTATGATCCTATGAGAAATGACCCTTTAAGAACAAAACAAAACACTTCTCCCCTATTCCCTAATATCATTGCATATCTGTTTATGTGGCTAAAAACAAAGCAAAAGTTTCGGAGCAGAACAGTGGGTGACCAGATTTCATGAACTTCTCTTGAGTGAATTCAAAATAGAGTGGAAGTGAAAGCAGGTTGGATTTTGTGATATTGTTTTGAATATTAAAGGATTCGGTTGAGCAGTATTAGATGTTTTTGGGATGTATGTGTGCAATATAGATGCATGTGATATCAAATCACAGGTGTGGCACATGATATTAAAGTATGGTTTGTGGTAGCCTGCATTCATTAAACAGGCTAGAAAGAAAATAGTAATACCTTAGCCCTTAAGTCATGTCTAGCTACTCTGCAAAAATAGATCTGAGGTACAGAACCATGCCAGTGATGTTTATTGTTGTTCTAAAGTTCAAGCTTTACATACAAGTGCAGAAAGTACTATTACACTGGTCTTGTTAAAACACTTGAAATGGAGGCCAGAAAAAAAACAACAACAACTGTATTTTCTTTTCATGGTGTTGTTTGAAGTACCATATAAATACCATGGTTTCTAAATATGTTACCATAATATATAAAAATAAATAAAATATTAATAATTCTAATAATTTGAACAAAATTAGACCAGTTTCTCTCCTAGAATGCTCGTTTAGTTTTTTCTACATTATAAAGAAATTAAAAGTAAAAAATGCAGCCATTGATTAGTTTGAGAATACGTTCAGCTACCAGTGAGAATGTAGTACTCTCAGCTCTGTTAAACATACATCACCATATCTGAATCTATCCAAAGGATTTTAGTTTTTTTCCCCTGCAATCAGCACAGAAGAATGTGACAAAAGTGTGTGAATTCAGTGCGGTTCTAGCCATAATGCATGCAGAGGCCCGATTCAGCTGAAAACTTGATTTCTTGTTCTGACCGTCTCTGTCTTGTGTCTGTGAATGCCACTATTGGTGGTGTGTGTCCCCTGTGTTCCAGCGTTCTCAGATTTGAGAGTGTGAATGTGGGGTACAGAAGTGGGCGAGAGTCTTTGTGAGACTGGAGGTGCACAGATGTCCAATTTGCACTTCAGCCAGGCCTGAATGTGCTGCTGGACCACAGGTTTACCCTGACAGAGAGCGAGAGAGAGAGAGAGAGACTCAGGCAAAAGCATCTTTGCCCATAAGGTTTGATGATTATTATTAACATGACTTGTATTGCCAAAGAAGTGAAAATTAAGGAAAATATGTTTAGTAAACTATTAATTAAATTAAATTAAATTGAATGACAAATTATCCATTTAAAATTCATATATTCGGTAGTTGCGTGGTAAAGTGTGGCAAATGTGTAAGGGTAAACTGTGTCAGGGACTTACCTAATAGCTATAGTGAGTTTTATATCCAACTCCAGAAAGTAATATTACATTGGTCTTGTTGAAAAATATGAAATGGAGGCCAGATTTCTTCAAATAATGCAAGGAAGCTCTGGCAAAGAGAAACCCACCTTTCAAAGAAAACGATCAAGGATTTTCCCCACAAAATAACACATTGAAGAAGTTTGCCTCGCAAAAAATTTGGTGAAGTACAAGGAGTAACATTTCATATTTCCCTGCAACCTTGATGGTTGAAGTTTGGCATAATAATGTCTTAGTTTATTCAGTCCAATAGTTTATTTTATTTTTGCATTTCCTATCAAGGAAATATAGGAGATATTAGGCATAGCATGAATTATAATTAGGCAGGGGATTAGGCAAGGGATAGTTCATCCAAAAAAGAAATTTCTGTCATCATTCTCACCCTCATGGTTTTTTTTTTCTTTTTTTTTTCTCTGGAGCACAAAAAGAAGATATTTTGGGACGTTGCAGTCCGAACAGCATTGTACCTCATTGCCTTTTGAATGAAATATGTTAATAGCAATGTATAATACTTAAAATTCATATTGTTTATAATGCATCTTGGATTCATTCATTCATTGGTCAATCATCTAATCATCTAGGTGTAGAAATGATTTAAGAATTTGTTCCAAACACTCTCTCTGAACATGCAATACCTGTGTATTGCAGCTTGGTTTCAAATGCTCTACTGCAGTTCTCCAGCATCTTTGAATGCAATCTGCACACACACAGATGCAGGAGCTGGAGGCAAACTGAAACTCAGGGTCATTCACTATCACTTCATCATCTATTTGTATTGGCCAACTTCTCTGCTGTTCTCCTTCTCTCTCTTCATATCACGGTGGGATCATCATTAGGGGGTGTGCAGACACACACATGCAGAAGTGTCAGATCATTGGCTGGTTTGCATCACTGAACATTGGCAAGTGGTTTGCCTTAGAGGGGTGTGTGTCTGTATCACCATGTTAGCTGGGGAGGAGGGGGATGGCATGGGGGGCTTCAGATGCTCTGCGCGCATGTAATTAGTTTTTTTTTTCTTTTAAAATTGTACGCAAGCATTTCTTAATGTGTGTCTTTCCTATCATAGTGTCAGGTGTCTGTTGCCTTTTGTGAATGTGTGTCTCTTCCTCAATATATGCAATTGTTTTGTTTTGTGTGTTAACCTGGCTATTTTGCTGACCTCCCTGCCAGTACAATGCTGTTTATGCATTCATACTTTGTGTCTGACGGCGTGTGAGTTTGTGTATGGGTGGCAGGTACTGTGTGGGTCCATTTTGGTATGTTCGCAGTGGGCAGAGGGTCATGAATGTTAACTTGCGCGCGCGCACACACACACACACACACACACACACACACACGGAGAGAGTGTGTGTGGAGGGCTGTAAGTGAATGTTCTCAGCGCTAGGTGACACAGTGTGGGCTTGACTCCAGATGGGAGAGCATTAAGCTGTTAATAAATGAGGATCTTTCTCTGCATCTGTGGAATGACAGACATACAGTATTCTAATGAAGAAGGGCTGCCCAGATGGCTTGATTTCATAGAAAATTTTGTTTTATACTGATTGGCTTTCATTTTATACTGATTGGCTTTATACTGTGAGAGTGTGAGAGAAACATTGACTCAGAGGGAGTTTTATTTATTTATTGTTATTATTATTATTTATTTTTTTTTACATTTAATTGAAAGGACAGTGACATACCAGGAGTTTAATAGGATTGGGAAGGGATGCAGGCTGGACTTAAACTTAACCTTTGGTGCATAACTTGTACTGCAACATTTGAGCAAAAAATGAGTGAAAGTCATGTTACTGACTGTAAATGTTACATCGGTTTCATTATGTGAGGAAACACAAATACACTTTATGTCCTGTACATAGACACACTGCACAGGGACATTGCTGCTTTAGAGTGACTGCAGGCCCACGCAACAGCACCAGTCATGCTTGTTTTGTTTTTATGTTAAGAACAACTTTCCTATAAAAGTAAAGCAAAATGGCTGCTGTTGATTTAGGAACCGGTGCTTCCTCAAAGGTCGATGTATTTGATGTTCCTCCACCAGCTGCAAGTGATAAAACCTGAATTTGTGTTTATAGAGACAACATGAAATCAATATTGTTATTCTAACTAAAACTATTACAAATAGTTTTCATTGATTGAAATAAAGCTGAAATAAAATAAAATCTTTAACTGAAGTAAAATAAGTTGAAGCACTAAAATTACTAAAACTTTTAGCACATAAAATTTGACTTTCCTGCAGTGTATTTCATAGGTCTTACTGGTTTATTCTTAAAAGAATATTATTCTCAATAAAGCATTTGGTAACACTTTACAATAAGGTTTCATTTGTTAACATTATCTATATTAGTTAATGTGAACAATATTTATAGCATTCATTAATCTTAGTTAATATTAAGTTCAAAACTTACTAATAACATTAAAATTTAAAGCTGTATCTGTTAACATTAGTTAATGTACTGTGAACTAACATGAACATTTTTATTAAATAACATTAACAAAGATGAATAAATGCTATAAAATATATTGTGCATTATTAGTTCATGTTAGTTAATGCATTAACTAATGTTAACAAATGAGACCTTATTGTGAAGTGTTACCAAGCATTTTTTTTTTCTTAACTAGTTAGGCCTATTATATGATTTTCAT